GTTCGGGTTTGAGGAGTACGACGCCCCGGTGCTGGAGAGCGAGTCTCTGTACACGCGGAAGTCTGGCGAGGAGGTGACGCAGCAGCTCTACTGCTTCGAGGACAAGGGGGGGAGACGGGTGAGAATACGGACGGTGGCAGCGGGATACTTGTTTTGGCAGAATGACTCAATTGATGGGCTTGACGTGTTGATCCGTCTACCGTATTCAAACAGTGGAGGACGAAAACACGGGAGGCTGTTGCGGCAGAACGAATCCCTCTATCGTATGGATATAGTAGAGGACACAAAGGGGGGAGGTAATTGTGGCAGAATGGATCAATTGATGGGCTTGATGTGTTGATCCCTCTGTAACGTTGGAGGCAAGCACCGCAGGAGGAGGAGGGAACGGTGGAGAACTCCTCCTTCCGTGTGACCCCGACTGTTGTGTCCAGCATGTTCCGAAGAGTGTCGGCTGGTGGCGCCTAGAACAGATCGGAACAATAATGGAAAGCGGAAAAAACTCCTAGTGTTTAGTGCTTTGGTAGCGGCACATCCCTCCCTCGGTTAGGGTGTGGTTCGGCGCCGATGGTTGTGGCTCTTCTCTCGATATTGTTGGTGATGGTGGTTTTACGTAAGTTGGTCCGTGACCACGGAAGGCGCCTGGACCAGTACGGATACCAGATGCCGAACGACCGGGACGATTTTTAGTGCGACGGCAACAACAACCGCAGCAACAACAATAATAACAATAACAACGTCAGGTGAGCTTGAGGCCGGAGATGACTCCGTCGTTGGCGCGCATGGTTATGGCCAAGCGGAAGAGCCTCACCTTCCCGGTCAAGTGGTTCAGCATTCCTCAGTGCTGGAGGTGAGACCACCGCCTCGTCGCGGCGTGGGATGCTACACGACCGATTGTTCAACTCGATACCTGTTCGACTCAGTTCACACGGTATGGCAAGCAGTATCTTTGGACATCCCTCGATGAAAGCCGCTTGATTCGCGCCCTGATCCCCCCCCCCGCCCCCATCCTGCAATGGAGACATGTAGCTTTTGGAACAATTGAACATATCGAGGGAGGTTGCATGTTGCGCAACTGGCATGCTGTTCCTATACAGCCGGCGATAAAAAAGAGATGCCTGACACCAAAAAGCAGAGATGGATCGGGAGGCAGAGTTGAGGAGGCAGGCGAGATAATCTCATGAGTTGATCGAACGACCAATCTCCAACAGACCGGTCGGCGTCACTTGAACACGTGCCAGCTCATGGCGACCTTCGCTGGTGGACGGAAGGGTGGCCACAAGCTTGTTCAGTCGTAGGGCTGCTGCCTTTTTGGCACACGGGGCGTCCCGACCCGCAAGCCCCCCGCCGGCCCAAACCAATCAACACCACCCCGACAACCACCCATCTCTCAAAGACGTGTTGCATGCAGGTCTTTCGAATCGATCAGAGCTCACGTACCTGTAAAACCTTGACATACGCAGCAGTGCTGCCTCAGCGCCTCCCTGTCAACGCTAAGATATGGCCAGGGGGCAAGCGAGAGGATGCGGCCACAACAGGAATAGTACAATGCCGACGTGGTTCATGCCGTAGTCGTTAGCCCATTGACCTCGCATCCCTACAAAGCCAGGCCGACGTTTCTCACCGGACCACGTTCACACATAACCAACTGCTGCGGGGAGGGGGGAAGGAACTTCAGAGTACATTTAAACATGCTAGCGCTGCCTCATGAGCCCAAATGTCCTGCCGAGCGGCAACTTCTGCCTGGGGGGGGTTGGGGGTGATTCAAACTAGCGCCGCCCCGTGACCCCGAAATGTCGGCAGGTACGAGCGCATGACGAGGGGCAGGCGAAGGGAGCACTACCAGTGGAACATGGACATCTGGGGGGTGTCCGGGGTGGCGGCGGAGGCGGAGCTGCTGGGGGCGATGGTGACGTTCTTCGAGAGGGTGGGGCTCCGCGCGGAGGACGTGGGGATCAGGGTGAACAGTAGGGGCGTGCTCACAGAAGTCCTGCACAGCCTGGGAGTGCCGGGGGACAAGCACACGGCCACCTGCGTGCTGGTCGACAAGCTCGACAAGGCGAGACGAAGAAGACGCGAAAAGTTATCCCCACTGCTGTTATCGCTGGAGTCCAACAGATAGCATACCTCTCCCTCGCCGCATGATAATGACGCTCTCTCTCTCTCTCGGTATATAATTTTCGTGCAAAATACGTAAAAAATTATCCCCACTGCTATTTTTGGGTGTCACTGCAGTCCAACAGATACATACCGCTCCCCCGAAGCACGACAAGGACGCGGGCTCCCAATACTTTTCAAACACAACAATTAAACTTCGTCCCTCGGGGAGAAGTATCCACCATGCCCCTTATTATGGCCTCTTACACAAACCACGTGCGATACCTGTCCTTGCACAAAACAGAAACTACGGTACAGAGACTTACGTGCCTGCCGTCCACGATCGTTCACGGACGGACTGACACACTGCTGCTTTTTTGTCTGCGATGATCGGTGGCGCGTGTCAAGTGAAGCGGTGCACGTAACTCGAACAATGTCGTGGAAGTTGCGAAACGCGATCGGCTTTCGTTGCTCGGGTTGCTCTGGGATTTCCCGTCCCCTCCTCTCCTCGCTCTTGCGCGTTTCGGCATAGCATAACCACGATTTATCTCTTGGTAGGCTGCTGCTGCTGTAGGAGGTGCCGATGACACTCCTTTTCTCCCCACGCGCGAAGCCGCGGTCCGAACCCAACCGCTGGTGCTTCTTCGGCCGCTGCTTCGGCTGCTGCTGCTGCTGTTGTCGTTGGTGATTGCAGATGCCTCTCGAAGCCGTCGCGGGTGACCTGGCCGAGCTCGGGCTGGAAGAGACGAGCGTCAAACGCCTCCTGGAGGTGATGGAACTCCGTGACATGGAGGGCGTGGAGGCGTTCCTGGGCAAGGAATCACCGGCAGCTGAAGAGGTGGGATGCTGCTGTTCGATGCCGCTATTTTCCCTCCCTTCTATGCCTGAGTTTGGTCGCATGGTACATGAAGCGGTGTCCTTTTTCGGCAACACCGGTCGGGCGCACAAGCATCCCAATCACATCACAATTTTCGTGCTCATGTATTTGCGATGCAAGTGTACCCTATCACACCACGATTATCCTGCTCGTGTACGCGGTACGAGTATCCCGATCGCATCACCATGTTCGTGCTCCTAGATATACACGGGGTAGTTTTAATTTGTATATTGTTTCGTTGTTAGCATGTTAGGAATTGAGTGAATTTCTCTCATCCACGGGGAGATATAGGGAGAGAGAGGCGCAAGCTTGCTGTACTATTCCACAGGCACGGAGTCGATTGGTCGCAGCCAACCGATGCGCGAAAGTGCCGCTTCGTATTGTACCGGAGTGTAAATTTTGCCTTTTTTTTGTATCACCAGGCCAACGCATGATAAAAACCCAACCTCGCACACGCGGCCAAAGTTTCACAACACAAACCAACCCCCAACACAAACCCCAACCCCCCGAAATCGAAAACCGCCAAATACGGAAATAACGCCAGCTACGGAAGCTCCAAAACGACAACCTCATAGACTCCGACGCAATAACCCCAACCCCGCCAAAAAACAAAACAAAACGCTAATAAATATCGAAAAAATCAGCTCCGGAAGCTCTTCGCGCTGGCCGAGAGCTACGGGATCTCCGACTGGCTGGTGCTAGACTGCTCGGTGGTAAGAGGCCTGGCGTACTACACCGGGACGGTATTCGAGGCGTTCGACCGGCGGGGGAAGCTGAGGGCCATCGCGGGGGGCGGTCGCTACGACGCCCTCCTTGAGTCTTTCGGGTACGAAAGAAGAAGCATAGCAGCAGCACAAGAGGCCCCAAGGATAGTAGTACCCCCCCCCCCCCCCCCCCCCCCCCCCCCCCCCCCCCCCCCCCCCCCCCCCCCCCCCCCCCCCCCCCCCCCCC